ACCAAGAGTCAGATACTTAACCGACTGAGCCACCCAGGCGCCCCTAGAAATTCTACTTCTAAAAAATATCCTACAGAAATATCCATAATGATTCATAGAAATTTACACATAAATATGTTCACTGCAGTGCCATTCACAATAATGTATTAGAAAACACCACACATTAATAGGGGATAGGAGAGGTAAATTTGTGGTGTATCCATACAATAGGATAATAGAAGTTATTAATGTAGTAAAATGTCCAAATGAGAAAAGCAAGTTATAGAAGAATATGTTTAGTGCTATGCTTTTGTTTAAAAATTATTAACATATTTATATGCATTTTATTATTCTAAAGGAAAAGTCTGGATGAAAACTTTAACAGTGGTTATTTCTGAGAGCTGAAATTTCAGGAATTTTCTCCATTCTAAGTCAAATACTTTGAAATTTTTGTTACAAACGTATTAATTTTATTATCATAAATAATGACAAAAGATAGAATACAAAAGAGTAGGTGATACTAATTTCAATGTTAACAATGTAAAAGTGATCTTGGTTAGAACACCAGGGTTTCTCAGTCCCGGCACTATTGATATTTGGGGCCAGAGAATTATCTGCTGGGTGGTGAATGCTGTCCCGTGTATTGAAGGATACTGAGCAGCATCCCTGGCCTCCACCCACTAAATGGTTTGGAGTAAAGGCAACTGTTTACAGGGCTAGGTATTTGCTTAGTAGGAGTGGATTGGCAGGATTGAATTCCTCAGAGGTTTAGACTCATTCACCTGCAAACACTTCTAATAACATGCATAGTAATTTCTATAAGTAGATTAAAATATTGCTCATTTCAATAACTGTCCTTAAAAAGTGTATTATTTGGCACTTCTGAAAATTAACAAATGTTTCTGCAATGCTTATGTTAAAGAAGAGAAATACAACTTGAACTACAACGAGAGATTGCTCAATCATCAAATTGGCAAAAATACAAAAGTTTGACAAATATTCTGTTGGTGAAGCTATGAGGAAACATGCACTCCCATAATTCAATGGTTAAAGTACAAAATGGCATAATCTCTTTGACGGGCGATTTAGCAATGTCTAACAAAAATACAAATGTATTGGGGCGCCTGGGTGGCTCAGTCAGTTGAGCGTCTGACTTTGGCTCAGGTCATAATCTCGCAGTTTGTGAGTTCAAGCCCCGTGTCGAGCTCTGTGCTGACAGCTCAGAGCCTGGAGCCTGCTTCGGATTCTGTGTCTCCTCCTCTCTCTGCCCCTTCCCCACTCATGCTCTGTCTCTCAAAAATAAATAACGTTAAAAAAAAATTAAAAAAAAATTACAAATGTATTTACCATTTAACATGCTAATCTCACTTCTGGAAAGTTATCCCACTAATATACCTCTGTCCGTATAAAACAGGTGAGTTCAAGGTTAATCACTGCAGCATTGCTTGGGATAGCAAAGGACTGAAAACTCTTAAGTTTCCAGCAATAGGAGACTGATTAAATAAACTATAATACAGTTCATAGTATAGTACATAGAATGAGTAAACCCTCTGTATTGATATGGAAAGATCTCCAGGATATAGTTGCGTGAGAGAAAGCTAGGTATAGAACATATTTATCCTGCTTTTAAAATAAGAACTAAGAGGCAAATAAAAATATTTATTCATATGTGTATTTGCATTTGTATAAGACACAGGAAGACGCACAAGAAATTAATAAAAAAGGTTACATATCAGGGGCTGGGGGGACAGGTGGATGAGAACAGGAGTAAAAATGTGACTTTTCTATGTCACCTCTCTATATGGTTTTGATTTTTGAACCACGTAAATATATTACCTGTTCCAAAATTTAATTTAAAGAGAAACATTCATATTATAATGTTAAAAAAAAGAATAAAAAATTATATACACGCCATAATCACAACTGTGTAAAAATAGCATGGATACAAAACAAAAATAAAAGGCAATGTACCCTGAATCTTTATAGTAACTGTCTTTAGGTGTGAGGAGGACATATCATTTTTTCTTCCTTTTTCTTCCTGGAATTTTCCATGTTGTCTGTAAGTATGTATTTCTTTAAGAGGAAACAAAAGCCTCATTCTTTCAAATGTCTGCATTCATAATGCACTTTATTCAATAAGTAACTTGTGGTTCCTAGTACCCTGACATTGAATATACAGAATATAGTAAGAAAAAAGAACACTTACGAAGACAGCACTATGGCAACGGCGTCATTGAGGACACTCTCCCCAAAAAGAAGTGCGTAGAGTTCAACATCCACTTGAAGCTCGTGGAATATGGCAAGGACAGTCACTAGCAAGTAGAAAGGGTCAGAGGAATATTCAGATATTACAAATATGACATAGTCGTCTCCACACGTGATTATGATGGTTACTTAGAAATTCATCTCTACCTCTTAGGATCCAATCCCCATAAACATTCTCTTATCACATATTAAAGATTAGGTAAGTTCATGTCGATACTTCTCTCTTCCCTAATTGTGTACCTGCAACATCTCCTTTATCTTACAAAGAGCTGAAATTAGCTTGGAGGACTGAGTTGACCTACATGTGTCATGCAAATGCTAATATTCTTGTCTTGTATATTTCTTTTCCATAAAGAATATATACAAAATTTCTTACAGACCAGGCAATCATTAATCTTTGATGAAGAAGGGTATTATGAAAAGCATCTCTTCCTGCAAATTTCCTTTTTTTCTTTGGAGACTTACAACTCATTTCTATTTGACTTGCAAATTTCAAGCACACTGGGTTAGCCAAGACAGTAGGAAGTGAAAGGCACAAGTTTGGTATTGGTTGAGATAAAATTTATGACCAGAGTTATAGCTTCTATATTTAATAAGAAGCCAATGATCAGACGATTACAGCTTGAGAAGATAAAAAAAATCCTTCTTCTAGGCAACAATTCTATGAGAATTCTTAGAAAATCAGATGAGACTGAAGTTGCATTATAACTTTGATTGCTGAGTCACATACAGCTCACTCCCTAGACAAACCCGAGCACACATGAAAGAATATTATAACCAGAGATGGGATAGCTCTTTCAAATGCCAACCAACAAAACAGGAAACTTCCATTTTAAAAGATGTAGTTTCTACTGCAAAGCATTTCATCTGGAATATATGGAGATAAAAGCTTACCAAGGGGAGGAGAAAAGGAGGGCAAAAGCAGTGCTGAAGAATTTTGAGAAGAGGATTTACAGCTCACCCTTCTAACAAGTATACAATTATAAAATAACAGAATTATTATAGGGGCAAATGCCTATATAACTCAGAAGAGATGTAACTGTCCAACTTAATATAAGCAAAACAGTTTCGCTAGAGCCATTCTGGCAATATTTTGTAACCAAAACAAAACCGGAAGACTGAAGTAACGTAGCTAGTCCAATTGACTCAGATTTCTCACAGACATTGCAGTCGAGGACCTTGCTTCCAAGCAAAAGGACCCAGAAAAGAGAGACCACTGGCTCCTTGCAAAAACCATCCTATTTTCACACTGATAATGCGTGCAGCTCTAAACAGTAAGGTGGCAGCCTTTATTGTCTTTAAGGGAGCAATTTGATTTTCAGTTTTAAAAATGTTAAACTACACAAACGCCTCTCTAAAATGCCCTCTGAGCTTTATAAAATCATCTCATATAGAGAACATATTTTCCTACTTCCTGTAATATAATTCCCTGTGTTATCAGTTAACACAGGAATTCAGAGTTAACCTTAAGATCATACCTTGAATTGTACTGGATGACAATTAAAGTAGATCAGTAAATGAACAAGGGCAAAAAGTAAAACAGAACAAACCTCTGCCAAGGTTCTAAAGCCTAATAAAAGAAACCCTGCATCCTGAGTTCAAAAACTGCAGTCTACGTTCCCATTGCTACGTCTTCAGCCTGCATATTCTCTAAATTTTTAATATTTATTTTTGAGAGACAGAGTGTGAGCGGGGGATGGGGGGAGAGGGAAACACAGAATCCGTTGCAGGCTCCAGGCTCTGAACCGTCAGCACAGAGCCCGACGCCAAGCTCGAACTCACAAACCGTAAGATCATGACCTGAGCCAAAGTCGGACGCTTAACCGACTGAGACACCCAGGTGCCCCCAGTGTGCATATTCTCTAGATTCCTAATCTGAATGTAGCTGTGAGGCTCACCAGTACTGTATCACAAAAGCTACAAACTAACTCTATAGAATTACATTCATTCTCCAGCTGTGCTCATATCAAAACTATTTAATAGCTGTAAAACCAATCCTTTAATGTACAGTAAGGCCCACCAATGATGCCAAATCACGCTTATAGAGGCACAACTGCCTTCTTTTTTAATACATATTTATAAATATTTTTATTTTTTTATTTTAGAGAGATAGAGCAAGTGTGCAAGTGGGAGAGAGGGGCAGAGGGAGGGAGGGAGGGAGGGAGGGAGAAAGAGAGAGAGAGGAGAAAGAGAGAGAGAGAGAGAGAGAGAGAGAGAGAGAATCTCGAGCAGGCTCCATGGTCAGCATGGAGTCCAATGTAGGGCTCAATCCCATGACTCTAGGATCATGAGCTGAGCTGAAATCAAGAGTAGGGCCCTCAACTGACTAAACTACCCAGGTACCCCACACAACTGCCTTCTAACAATCATTTAAAAACTGTTTTTCTTACTCTTAAATGCAGATAGTTGAATATAAACATTAGATTTTTAAGGAAATGGTTTCCAGAAGCTTGAAAGAATATACTATTATTACCCATTTTAACTAATCTAGTTCATAGTCACCAAATACCCAATTACTAAAGATAGAACCAACCTGAATTTCTGAAGCAAAGGCCTTAGAGCCCTCATCTAAATAGCATCAAACTGTGGACCACTAATGAGCAAAAGTAATAAAATAAAATAAAAACAAAATGTATGTTTAAGCCAAAAGGGCCCATACATTTTGTTTTTTCCTCCACAGTTGGAAAGTATAATACTATGGGAATTTATGAATTCTACACCTAAAGGAAGGATCACACACACACCGTTTTGCTGGCAAAACATGGTACCGTAAGTACTTAAGAACTTAAGCTCCCCTCTCGTGGACACATACCTGGGTCAGTTGCTGATACAATGGCACCAAACAGCAGACAGTCTGTAAAGTAAAAATCTCCCGCAAGCTGTCCGGTCACTTTCATCAGTGTGACACAGCCATACATTATTGACCTGGTCAATAAACACATTTCTACTTTAGAGAAAACAGTAACTGTTACAGAAGTTAGAATATCCTAAGAAGATGGGTCTACTGTAGTACTCGGTGACTAATCGCAAATTTAACTCATGTCATTTAAATATGGTAATACCTTGGCCTTAAGGGAAATTCAAACAACTTGATATCTATGTGAATACATTTTACTGAAAAAGGTCCTTAGACACACTCAGGAACAATACCGCAAAAATTGAATATGCATTATTTAAAAAGTATAATTTGAAGGATAAAAAATGTTTTAACCTTCAAGTACTTACCCAATTACAAAACAAGAAATTGCTGTTCCAAGAAAAGCATAGGCTAGGATAGACCCAAGGTTTCGAAAGAAATGTCTCTGATAAAAAAAAAAAGTTATAGTGCGTTAGAATACTTACCAATTATTTGAAAAAGAAAAGGCTTTCTATTCTAGTCTGCTTTGCTAATATTAAATGCATTATTCATTAAAGGAAATAAGTAAGAGAAAGAATTTTTGTGCAGGCATAAATTTCAGCAGGGAGAGAAGGGAGGGAAACCTGGAAAGAACTGCCTATTTCTGAAGTGACAAAGATGAAAAAGCCCATGGAGGTTAAGGTCGTTTAAAGTATATGAAATACAAAAGCACTTACTCTTTTCAGACTATATCCTGCATAAAATATGATAGGAGGAAGCAATATGTTGAAAAATACTTCTGGATCAAAGGTAACCTGTTAAAATAAAGAGTTCTTTTAGATGAATTCCCTTAGGAGACCTCGTATTACATTATCAAATTATCAAAAAGAAAAAAGATTTAATTTTAAACTGGTGAAAGGCAAGAATATTACTGTGGTAACTGCAAAATATTTCATATAGGATAGCTGTTGTTCTATTTCTCAACCAAACGACAAGGAGACAGTGTCGGAGCAATCTGTTAAGTCCTATCTGTGGAAAGCGTGTTACAATACACGCATTAGGGGCACCTGGGTGGCTCAGTAGGTTAAGCTTCCGACTTCAGCTCACATCAGGATCTCACAGTTCGTGGGTTTGAGTCCCACGTCGGGCTCTGTGCCTGGAGAGCCTGGAGCCTGCTTCAGATTCTGTGTCTTCCTCTCTCTCTCTGCCCCTCCCCCACTCATGCTCTGTCGCTCTCTCGCTCAAGAATAAATAAACATTAAAAAATACTATGACATGGGAATGCAAGCTGGTGCAGCCACTCTGGAAAACAGGATG